TGCTGAAAACTGGTTGTGAAAGCGACATTAGTACAACAATAAATAATTGAATTGTTTGTACCAACGTTGTAAGAATTTCTTACTCCATGTTCCACACTCCACTTCCAAACAATAACTGCAAGATCCTCGATTTTCTACTACGCCGTGGCATTTGTTTATCCACGGACCTTTTCTCCCATATGTTGAACCGGATACAGAAACGTTGCAAGGTGCAATTTAGAAAAGTGATCGCATATTTACAATGTTACTTTTCCAAGTCAGCAGCTGATTTGCTTTTTCAAATAGTTTTTGTTACATGGGAATATTTTCATACCAATTCTTGCTAAAAACGCCCCTAGCTACCAGTTCATTATTCGACTTAACATCCGTATGAGTTAGGATATTTCCCAGAGCTCAAGAAACCGTGCACATATTTGTAATTCTATAGTATGTCACAGTTTTAACTACTTTTTTGGCGTTAAGTAAGTGATCTTGACTGCATATACCCCGGCAACATCAGCAAAAGCAACTTTGATATATTTGATCTTTACACTGTGATATAATTTCAACAAAATATCTCTATCAAACTTGCTCTATTTTGGCGCAGGAAGGAAATCTGCTTTTATTTCAAATTTAATCCCACAACGCACTTCTTGGGTAACCATTAAACTCAGCCACCTCCGTCTCTAGATAGCTATACTTCGATTTTTTCTAACGAGGCGATTGATGTAAATCAGCTGATACGGTGTCATCCTATCGAGATCTTGAATCTCATCACAATGATGTCACTAATGACTTAAGCTCTCGATTGGACGACACAGTCAACAGCTAATTTACGTCCAGCCCCACGTTTCAAAAATTTTGAAGTATAGCTATCTAGAGTAAAGCTATCCAAAGTATAGATTACGACCATGGTCTTGGGAATATTAGGAGCTATTCATAGTTCCATAATATTCCTAGGAGTATTCAAAAGCTCCACGATTACGGCCATCTCAGCTCTAAGCGCCACCTAAGAGTTAGATATATTCGGAACTGCCAACATAGCTTGCCGCAGTTGCCATGTTATACATTACACAATATCCGGAGGCGGCGTTTTGGCAACACTAGGAAACATTCAAAAACAATGGCAGCGTGTCAGCGATTCACACAGTTCCAGGCTCTGTTGCCTCACATTAGTTCGAACTCATTACCTACACGAGTGATACATTAAATCTAAAAACATTAACGCTTACTAACAGGCTGTGGACGTCGTGATATGTTCATAACTTTCCCCAAAGCCGAACCTTATCGGCCGCCTCCGCGACTTCGTGCGAGTCTGATGAGCGGCAACTCTTAACCCTGGCTGTAAGCAAACAAATCCTCGCAAGCAGATTGCTTCAGAGGGCACATGACGTACCTCAGCTCGTCGCGAGACAATGCCATAGTCGCGTTTACGCTGCCAGTGTTGCCGGCATTCATCCGTCCTTTTTTGTTTCCTGCTATCTTTCAGATTAGTCACCAAATTTCAAACACTACTGATGAGTCATTCAGATGCTCTTTCACCTCCCGTAATAGATCCACGACTTTCCCTTACTACGGCCACGGCTTATTGCAGAAACGGCATAAATCTAACTTTTTAGAATGGACAAAAACCTAATACAGCTACATTAGTCATACATTCTGTTCCGTAATTTTAAAGAATTGTCACCTTTTGCAAAAACTAATTTCTTCTTTTATAAGTCACCGCTGACTTATGTGGTTTCTGAAATAAAACATACGAGGGCAAAAATGCATTGTAATTTAAATGCTTATATTTTTGAAATGTGCCACCCCAAACTTTCAAATCATCAAACTGGAACGTTACAAATTAAAGAAAATACTATTTACACGAAATTGTTTAATTAATTAGACACACTGGCCGTCTCTGTAGTTCTTTGTAGAATGCAGAAACTTGCTCTTAACGAAATACTCTTAATTTGAAGTCACCCCGAGTGTTTTCTTTGCAAGTCTTAGTAAGTAACATTTACTATAAGTTGGCACAAGTTGAATGTCTCTTGTATTAGTATTGTCAGAAAGTTCAAGTTTTGAATATCGTCAATGCACACTACACCACCTGAATCTTCATTTTTGACTAGAGCAGACTTTCTTGAATCTTTATGTAGAATTTTCGAGCTCTTTAAAGACGTTCCAATTTTTCAGCAATGTGTACCCTTCTGGCTACATCGGGGTACTTAATGGCTAGGGCTGGGAAGTTCATGCAATAGCATGTTTTTTGTTAATGGTCAAATTTTCCTGAAACTTCAAATGTGAATGTTTCATGGCAAAATATTGAAAATAGGGTAAGAAATGTTATGCATATTTTGCATATTCAGAACTTTTTGGCTTGTAAATTAAAGTTTTTGCATATTTTTCAATTTTTTGCTTGAAATAAATAATTGCTAAAAATAAAAATATATGAATATCCACGTGGAAATATTAATGGAAAGCATGAACTTTCTTGTTGCTTTATGTTCTTAATAGCTCCAGGTGAAATGGGGAAAATATGAAGAAAACCAATGAAGTTTTTGGAAAGAATCAAGTGCTTCTTACTTTACGACAATAGAGTAAATTCTTGGAAAGAAACGGTGTTAGTCTTCCAATGTATTGAGCATAAACAATGTCTCCCATAACCTCATGTCAAAATATTATTTGTTATTTGAATTATGTTTTATATTGTCTCATAGAAGACAACCTGACAACAAATAACCTTAATAAATTTCTTGTGGTTTTCTGTGCTCTTAATGCAAAATAAAATGTGCAAAACTAGATACTAATTATTTCTAATTGCATATTCCATCCCTAGGTGGCAAAAATGTGTAAAGTCATTGTAAAATATGTTTTTGTACCCAAACACTGCAAATCTTAACAATTTCTGCGCATATTTCAACATTTTTGCGGCATATTTGCATGCAAATTTCAGGACTAAAAGCTTGCATAAACTTCCCAGCTCTAATAATGGCATTATTAATTTTAACACATTTATGTACTTGAAATATGTATAAATATAAAATAATAAATATAAAATAATATATTATTTGTCAAGTACAAAAAAATTGAAATATAGTTATATTTATTGAAATTATATTTTGTAAATAAAACTTGTTTTAGGTTTTAGCTAACCTTTTAAGGTTCACATGTAAATGCCTATCAATTAATGATCTGGTGCTGTATACTTCAAATCTCTTGGCTGAGCCAACTTCAAACAGAAATTGCTTCTGCTTAGTGCAGAAAGAACACAAGTCACTGACGTTTGTAGTATCTGCATTAATTCTTATGCATCTGGTCTTCAAAAACAATCTCTAAAATTTGGTAGATTTGTGGAGTATCACACAATACTTTTTTTCTGTATTACTCAACAAACTTGCTTGAACCTTCTTAGGTCATTTTAGAATTTTTATAGTAAGTCCTTATTACAAGCTTATTATTGATAATTTCCAATAAGGTTGCATTTATGCAACTTTGCAATTAGCACAAATATGATCTTCACACTATAAAACAAATTTAATTGGAATGTAAGTGTTGAATAGACTTAACCATCGTTTCACATTTCGATTCCTGATATAATTATGACATCTTTAATATAGACTTATATTGCATTGTTGCTCAATTGTATAATCAATGCTTTACGAGTAATTATTTATCTTATATAAAAATTCTGCTTGTTTCAAGAACAAAAAATTGAAAATAAAGTCCTCTATTAACTGCTGAACTTATTTCAGAATTGAAGGAAGAAGTTGACCTAATCAGTACAAATATGAATGATTCTGTTAACATTTCTCTTAAAGTTGACAAAATGACAGATTAGGAAAATATAGATCTCCTGGAGGAAGAAGTAGAAGATACCTAAATTGTCAATGCAATGGACAACAGTGGAATATTCATATTATTGCGAATGAAGTTACAACTAGAAATTCGCTCGTACTTAGTCATGGCCTAAATGAAATCTGAGAATGTGACACAGTAAATACAATAATGAATACACAGGAGACTGAAATATTCAATTTTGGTCGACAATTCCGTATCTTACGAAATTCATTGTGATAAAGGGATAGAGACATAGGGGGCTCAGGGCAATATCTCTGTAGTGCCTCTAACCAGGAGGTCTTATATCGTGCTCGAGTCCTGGCAGTGGTCGGATTTTCGACACTAGCTCATAACCTGGTCGAGTTCAACCACAGCCTGGAGGAAAATTCTAGCGGCTGGTTTCTCTCATCGCTAGTTTTCCTTGGTCTCCCCGATCAAAAGCAGGCTAATGCCAGAGAAGTATCCTAATAAACGAGCCACGGAAGGCGATTTTTCCTTCCTTATCCTTGTCCTATTCTCACCGCTTACTTACACACAGTTCACTACCACACATGCCGGAAGACCAATCAGTAGCTTATGAGCTTGTCCCTGCCGAAACGGTACTCAGCTGATGGGAGATACCTGGTTAGGGAAACCCTGCAAGCCGAGACGGGTAGGTTGGCGTCGGATCTCGCCACCCTGCGTGGGAAGATCACCGCCACCTCACGCGATAAAAACATGCACTACAACTACGGGACTAGTGACTGCAGTTTACGCGGCCGTAATCGCGAATCAATCTACTTATATACATCACGTGATAATTTTGGGAGAAAACATAGCCTAAAGGTGGTTCAGGTTGTGCAAAAGCATTACAATTTACAAATCTAAAAAATGCGAAGTTCATTTTCATTTCAACTGTTATCAATCATGACCTGACAAGATCACTGGATATACCCTATTCTTCTTAAGTTGGTATTCGCAACATTTTGATTATTAGGTTTAAAACATAAATGAGCTTTTCTTAATCCTTTCCAGTGCAATATACGATTTCATAGTATTATTACCAAAATATAATTATTGCAATGCTTGGTCCTTAATGAGAAACTTTGATGGTAAAGGTGAATGGCTGGATATAATGGAACTCAGGAAAACTTGCAAGTGTAATATAGGTTTTAAGAGTTAAATACTAACAATTTTGAACGAAATACTGAAATACTTACACGTACGAAGTCCAAGAAGAATATCTTTATATGTTCCCCAAGAATAACAAGTATGAAGAATCAACACAAATAAAACTCATCGGTTCGTTGAATACAAAAACAGCGTGCATGAAAACTAAGCGAGATAGAACGCAGACAATTTCCAGGACGTGAAGCAAACACACACCATTTCCACCATCACATTACACTGAGACCAGCACTCTACTTTCCGCGGTATTTTACACCAATCACAGTTGTTTCATTTAGTCAAAGAAAATGCACATAAACTATCATTAAAATCATAATTCGTATATTTCACCAATTAAAGACAATATCAAAATGATTTTCTTTGAAATTGTATATTTAGAAGGAATAATATGATTTACCGTAAAGCAAATATACTACTATTTGTGTATGGAAAAAGTAAACTAAAGTTTCGGAACTTTGTAAATACTCTTTGCAATTTACTGAGCCAATCAAAGATGAATGCTTTAACAGGAATAGGCGGGAACTGAGCGGAAAGATCATCTGGTCATCTGTCATAGTTTCATGAGACCGTAGTGTTTTAGATTGCGTCATGATAGTGTGAACGTAAATTAATTCCAGTCGTTGTATTATTTCTCAGTGCGGCTCTCTGCGGCTATTTCACTTGTAACAGGATCCCCTGTCTTGGCTTCGATTACAGAACAATCATAGTATCATACTTTCTGTAGAAGTATGGCGGGGAGGTAATCTGTAATTTTATAAGAATATTGAATAATATTATTAATTACTTCATTTCTTGTACTTTTATTTAATTCGTATGTTCTCCATTTTACAGGTATATTCGAACAATAGAGGAATCCCAAGTGGTCATAAATCATGCCAAAATAGATGAAAGTGATCTGAAGTCAATTACCCAGCCCCTATATTTTTCAGAACATGCGGACGAATTCGAAAAATATAAATTTATTGAAATTGATCCAACATTACTTAACGTCTTACAAGAAGGGGAAAAGTATGTTAAACTAAGTACAACGTAATTGAAATAAGTGTATGTTTTAGTCTTTCATGTAGAAAAACTGCTGATAGAGACTGTCAAACGTCTTGTTCTGAAAATCCCTCTTGGTGAATATAATGTGTTACAGAGCACGTTTTGGCAGAACTATAGCTTGACCTCTCAGTCTGCAGGCCCTGAAAAGTGTGGAGAAGGCTGCTAAGTTTGATGTTAGCATGCAGTAGTAATTTTGTTTAATCAAAATGTGCTGTAATTGTGCAGTTATCAGAATGAGGTTGTTTTTGTTGCCTTCCTTTACCTTTATGTTGTAAAACTGCACCCTGAGTATTGGTGGAACCAAGGGGGGGAGGGGAGGCCATTCGATTTAAATATTTATGTATATTTGAATTATGTAATTTTTTAAATAATATTGTATAGTGTCTACTGTATATAAATAATACACAATATAATATCAAATATGTTTATTATTTCACACAAATCTATGATGGCCCCCCAAAATGATCGGCTGGATCTGCAAGCAGATAAGCCATGCTAAAGTTAAACCTAAGTTATTTGTACAAATGGAAAATACACTCCTAGTACAAAAACTATCCAAAATTTTAAGACATTAATCTGATCATGTATAACATAACATTGCAAACCTAGTAAATTTTATGGGCATTAAATTGATTCAAGAACCCCTTTAACAGCCTATACTCAAACCTCTTCAACTTTCTAACTAATAATGAATATCTGCCTGTTTTATCACCGAGATTGTTCTGGGCCTTATTGTTACCTTTTGCAATAAGGAATGTGTTTTATTGTTTTGATGTATTTGTAACTATTATACATTTACTGTAATGAAAGTTCAAGAAGAGCGTTATTAAATTGCAAACTGAATTCAGCATGTACTTATGAATTTTATTTTTTAACTCTAAGGGTCCGGTTTCTTAGGACTACTTTGGTTACAACTCTTGGATTGAAATATTAGTTACGTTCTGACACTCCTTAAATGCACTGCCCTGTCAGGTGTGATTGAAATAGCATGTCTCACAGGGTCATGCAAACTAAGATCATACATGTTGACAGTACTCGTGCATTAAAAGGAGGAAATCCTCAAATACTTCAGTATTATTTAAGTCTCTTTCATTTTAAATTTATTTTTGCAAAATATTTAAGAAATATTGAAATGATTTTTTGAAATTTCTAATTCTAGATTAAAATTTTGTGGGCTTAAAGATGAAAATGCAGTTTTGTGTACAAGAAATAAGACATACGAAGTGAAAGAGGCTGAAACTTCTAATTCACTACTATTGCTGTCATCACTGAAATGGTCTGATGAAGTGGATGAAGCTGATACACGTACTTTAGAAGAAAGAGAAGTTTGTGTTCACAATACTTATTTGAATTTGGTGATAATTTTTTGTTGTATAGTGAAAATAATCATATAATAGTTGTGTTTATTTATCATTCCTAATACTGAAAAACGTTTAAAAATTATCATCACAATTAATACTAATTGATTAATAGTATGAAATGCAACTTTATTTTAAATAAATTCACCTGGAAAAACTATTTTTGAATTTTGCAGAGTATTTACTAAAGTTATTTGTATTAATTAGAATCATTTCTGGCCTTTGTGCGTCTGAGGAAGAACCTTTTGAAAGATAATAGTATAAGCTTTTGTATAAAATATTATATTACTCAAGGAATACAATTTTTTTTTAATTATAGGTTTGTGGCATATTTCACAAATACTTTGAGCTTCGACCTTGTTTACCCCAACTTCACAAACTGCGTAGCTTGTTGAAAGAACATCCTTATTCAGGTCCTGAACATGAAGATGAGGATGTAAATCAGACAACTGGGTATTCGTTTGAAGGATTGCTTGCCAGAGTGCAAGCAAGTGAAGAAGAATTGCAACTAGCTTTGTCTGAGGAGACAGCATGTTGCATAAATGGTAATTCTGTAATTAAATTATTTAAAATTATTGTCAATCAGGGATGTTCACTTTCTTGCTCTTGGACTGGTATTCACATATTCTTGACTCTCAGCAACAGCTTTTGAGTTTGGGTATATGAACTACAACTCATGCTGGCCTGTACTAATGTAGACCTGTTTAATTAAACGTTGCCGTTCTGAAAAATATTCTGCTGCCTTATCAAAGTGTCTTAAATCATGAAATTGTAGCATTAGTGGTAATATGTTTATGGTCATCAGTAGCATTTTTTGGCAATTTTTGTTAATTTCTTTCCCTTGAATTCTTTTGCTTGTCATAACTATCTGAAGACAACACATATTCTTTTTGATTACAAATGTTCAATCTTTCACCATTTTTAGGGGCCCTTTTTTTTGCCATATTTACTGGACTTAAAATGTTTGTAGTTGGTTTTTGTCTGGTTTGTAGTTGGTTTTTGTTTGTTCTTGTTTGTAGTTGGTTTTTGTTTTTTTTTTTTTTTTTTAGGAAGGTGGCGAATGCTTGATCCTAAATACCAACTCAGAGTTCTGTCATTGATCCTTGGTGTTGTAGAAGAGAATTCTTGGACGTTTGATGCAGTTGTAAAAGATGAAGTTTGCCAAGCTCTTTCTGAAATTGTACCTGCAGAGATTCTGATTCAGTGTTTTAGTTGGTACACCGAACCTGTGGGAGAGACCGATTCGAATGGTGAGATTAAGTCTTAAAAAAGAGTCAACAATATTTTTCAATTTTTTTCATGTTGCATGATACAAGAATATGTGCATATATACTGGTGCACCTTGCTGAGGGCTAAGCCTTGTACGCGAGACATGAATTTACGCAATTGTATTTTCATACAAGAAATTATGTTTTATACTGAAATGCTTGTTGAATTTAATAATTTCTATTTACACATTTAACATAGTTTAATGAATGTCTATTGATGCAATATGTAATTAATTGAAGAAGTGTCTCGTAGTCACACAAAGATTTTGTGCCTATAAAGTTCACTGGAAGCTGCCCATCCCACTCCCTCTGCTCCCCTCCAAAAAAGAAGGAACTTGTTGGCAGGAGAGCTTTGAAAAATGCAAACCTACTGAAAGAACTATGGAGGAATTTTTAAAGCATTGTCTTCAGTATTTTATTTATAGAATTTTATTGTTATTATTTTCTGAGTTATCGGAAATTGAATTTAAAACATTGTTATTTGATATTTTAAGATAGGTTGAGAAATAACTCCAGAATATTCAGTTAAATATAACAAATGATTTGAAAATTGAAGTATTTTAAATAAATGAGGCATGGGAAGCATGAGCAAGCTAAACAACAGTTTTTCCAAAATTGATATTTTTGCATGATTATGTAGTACATTGTTTTATTTAATAGTATTGTTCAAGTTTTTAATAAATTATATCTTCTTCCTTTTTTTGAACTTTAATATTCACTAAAATGAAAACTTGGGTTTCTGTAGTGCTATAGTGAGCTCTGCCAAGTGTCACCTGCCTCTCTCCAATACAGCGCCAACATGCGATCATGTAATCATTGCTTTAAAACATGGATGGCTCTGAAAGTGATTGTTCTAAGTAGTTGTGAAAAATTAAAGAATGGAAGTGAAATGGGAGTGATTAGCAGAAAGTAAAATCCAAAGAAAGCAGGACTATCATACTTCAGTAGTCCAACAAGTATGCCACCAAAGCAGGACAATTGTTGTACATGTGCAGTAATGTACATGTGGCAGACAAGAAAATAAGAAAAGTCAATGTTGTCATCCCTGAAAGCTTGTTGAAAAAATGCAAGAGTTAAAAATAAGATTCAAGTAGAAAAGATTGAAAAAGAGGATTTCATGGATTTTCAAGCTGCTACATCTGCATTGAAACTCGCGGCGAGCTTTTGAACTGACAAAAGAAGCCCAGAAATATTCTATGAAAATATCAGTTCAAAAAACAGAAGTATTGGCACTGCAAGGCAAAAAAACAAAAGAGCCAAAATTGTGATAAATGGAGAAATAATGGAACAAGTCAATAAATTTTCGTATCTTGCCAATATCGTAAGTGTATTTAACCAGGAGGATTTAGGAAATAAATTGTATAAATACAACAAAATCTGTGGAACAATTAAACGACACTGGCAGAGACATGAATGCAAACATAAAACAAAAAATTCACAGTATAACTGTTAAACCTATAGCTATGTACGGGTCTGAGACATGGATAATGAAAGAGAGAATTCTGATCAAATTCTGACCAAATTCTGATCAAAATGGATTTTCTTGTTTCTTCAAGAGCAAAATGAATGGTTGAGATGGCTAGATATGTCTCCGACGACCTTGAGGATGAGCTATGAGAAGAAACTGAAGTGTGTTCCGAAGTTGACATTTTGGAAACAGCAGACAAAGGTGATAAAATTCAAGGGACTGAAATTGAAGAAATGTTTGTATCGAAGAATGAAACCTTTTGGCTGAAAGATCCCTTTGTAAGCAGAAAACAAACATTTTCCAACATTATTCGCATTCTTCCTGGTGTCTCATCAGATATTGAGAGACTAGATAATATTTTGTCAATTTTTAAGTTATTTATTTCTCCTGCTATTGTGGAAATTATTGTAAAATACACTGACTAGAGAGGTGCTTGGGAAACTGAAAGCTATAATAAGAAGGCTATATGTACGGTATAAGTGGCTTGATGTAGATGAAATTGAGATGTTTGCTTTTATTGGACTCCTCATCTGCACCAGCGCCATGCAAAGCAATTGTGAAGCAGTTTCTATGCTATGGTGTTCAGACTTCCTTTTTCGTAGATCAATTTATGCAGAAACGACGTCAAGAACGTAATTTTCGACCATATCCTATTATCTCAGTTTTGATGACATGATTTGTCACAATGAAAGAATAGCATTGGATAAGTTAGCACTGATTCGAGAGATAACTTACCTCCTAGTCATCAGTATTCCAATTTTGGTAGTCATCAAACTGTAGATGAAAGATTGTTTCCTTTCAGGGGACATGCCCTTTTCGTGCATATATAAAAACAAAGCCTGAAACATCAGTAGTCAATACTCTAGATCGTATGGCAGGGGAGTATACATGCCATAGGATGACACGTAGGTGCCCGTGGTGCTCTCCATGAATATGATTGACTTGGTAGGAGTGACTGCATTTGTTTTATGGAAACATATTCATCCAGAATGGAACATTGGTGACAAAAGTGGCAGACATCTATTTTTGCGAGAAGCTGCAAAACAGCTCATTGAACCGATGATAAAGAGACGGCTCAATGATCCATCTATATGAAACACACAAACCTCAAACTTTCTTAAGATGATGTCCAAGTCTCTGGAAAGCATTTCTGGGATGGGTGAAGATAGTGAACTGGCTAGGAAAGACACACTGAGTCTATCAAATTCTGCGATAAAGCGATCATGTTGCTACATGTGCCCAAAAAAGTGATATAAAAGTTAATATTTTTTGTTCAGTGTGTAAAATGTTTGTTTACAAGGAACATCACTTACATTAATCAATAATTTTTTCTGTAAGTGATTTTGAGTTATATTTACTTTAGTGTACTTACTGTAAGTAATTTTGTTTCATACATCTCTGAATTTGTTTCTTTTCAAAATAAACATTTTTGACCTGGAAATTTGTATTTTACCTATTTACTAACAGATACCAACTAAAAAAATTGTTAAGTTCCAGTCAGAAAAAAATATCAAAAAGTGATATTGGAAATGGGGTCTCGAAAGGACCCCTGTAGTATTTTACGTTCCAGTGAGACTGTGGTGCTGGGGGGTTAATTATTTTTTTTTAATAAAAGAACATAATTGTGGTAGTTTGCTTGAAATATCAAGGTGCTTATTTTGAATGCACCTTTTTCTGTTTTATTTGTGTATTTTGAGTGTAAACATGTTTTGGAAAATCCAGGTGCAGCCTTGTATAGGATAATTGAAGCAAAAGTTTGTCGCTTCATGGGAGAAATGATTCTGGCAACAGTGGAAGGACTGACTTTAGAAAATTTTATAACTGCTTGGCAAAACAGCATTCCTGAAGGTATGGCGTTTAAATACACTGTACAAATCATAATCAGAAATGTATGTTGTTAATTGAAACTACAGGTTTAGTTTTTAAAAAATTGTTTTATTTACAGGAATGAAATTGCAAACATCATACATGGATGGGTTGATGTTGGTTAAAAAAGTAAATGACAAAGAGATAGTCCAATATTTTCCTGAATCTGACTTGCCAATCAATATCTCAGAAAGATTTTCTGTTCTTTTTGAGATTCGTGAGAAGTGGACATACGATGAAATATACCCTTTCATTGCGTAAGAACAAAAATGTAGTATTTATTACTAATATGATTTCAATATTATAATATAATTTAATTTAATTTAATATGCTTTCAATATTATTTTTACATTGATAATATCAGTAGATATAAATTTCCATTAACATGTTAAGATATTGAGTCGTTCTTTTAAAATTGGAGAAACATGGAAATCTGTGGGTAAAAGAATGGTGTTCACAAATTTATTTATTTATTTATTTATGTTTTCCAGACGCTTTGCAAGTGGCAATATGAATGTAGGAGCTCTTTTAACCAAATTTGCAAGATCATCAAAATCTAATGGAATTAAATGTTACACATCAAAACATGGAAGATGAAAATATGGAAGAAGTGACAAGTTATTATTATTGGTATTTTGATTCCAAAATAATGTGTTGTGAACTGTTCATATTTAAAATGGTTGTTTATATGTTTATTTAACATTGTCTTTTTACCATTCTTTCAAATTGTGTGATAAATATTTTGTGTAAATAAGTTAATAAATATCAGATTATTGTATTGGTCTCTTTGATTGCGTCATAAGAAAGTTGTTTATTACCACTTTCAGTTTATTTACAAAAGTTAATCATAGTTTTTCAGACTGCACTTATAGTGTTAAGTACAATTGTAGTTGCGGCTGGTGGATTGGAAAGGAAAGAGGGGTGGTGTGTAGCAAGACAATCACATAAGTTTATCTCTCCAAAATATTTGTTGTCCGTGAATGTAGTGTTTGACTGAATTGCCAGTAACTGGATTTAATTTCTTATCCAAAACAACTTTAACTTTGATGGGAAAAGATAAAATTTTGCAAAAGAATTTTTTTTATACATGCTAGAAATCAAAATGGTAATTCATAAAAATGAGTCATTCCACATCAAATCAAACACCATTTTGACCTTAGGCGTTTGAAACTTCTTGAATATGTTCTGAGGGTAACTAAAAGAGACTTAAATGTTTTTGTTAGCATTCAACTTAATTATTTTGGAATTTATGCAACATGAAATTTTCCGAAAAAATCGTGCTCACCAACAAATAAAAATGCTTATTTCTCCTGCCACATTGATTGTACAGAACTGAGATTAGTCGGAAATAATAGATCAACACGGTTAATTAAGATTATTTATAGTGGGGTTTAATTTTTAAATATCAATGATTCATTAAATCTCAATTAATTTTTAAAATTTCAATTTTCCAAATTTCGTGGAAATAAAATTTTATTTTAAAAATAATTCTATATTCTCAGCTTAATGAACTACAAATATGCAAAATTTCAAATTTGAATATTTATGAATAACATAATTAAAAAATATTAATTGAACATGTGTGCGGCTACATAGTGTACTGCCAGGATGTTTCAATATTAGTAATACTTGGAACAGAAAGATTGGAATGAAACGTGGAGTCTACATAATCTTTAAACATTTTGAAATGTCTAGGTGTGACTACAGGTATTTTTAAACCTGTAGCTTTAGAAGAATGTTTTTTTCTTTGATCGTTATTGGTAACTGGCTCTGAAAATCAAAGCCCTCATTCTGTCATCAGCGAACCCAGTGCGAGCAATCATATGACTCTACCAGACTTAAACGAAGAGGTTCTTCTTCAAAATCCAGATGAGTGCCCTCGACAAGGTTCCTGCCAGTATATGTTTCACTTTTCGTGAGTTCGGTCCTATTATAGCCACGTCAGGCCGAGACATACTAGGCTGTCTGGCAGATCCAATTTTATTTGTTATAGTAGGCAGCAGCATAGTGCAGCAAGTGTAAACCATGTTTATTGCAGATTTTACATAATTTGTGTTAGTCTGTTAACACACTGATGTAACAGCTGTTACTCATTACTAAACATCGAAGACCTGACTTTAATTTTAATACATTCAATCTCAAAAATCACAGATATAAGAAGAAAAAATTTAAGCATATGACATCTTATTCTATTGTCATTCAAAATCCAGTTCAAGGAGCACTGAAATAAATAATCAGGTCACACTACACCCCTTTGTTATATAATTCAAATAAAATAGTCATCTAAGGCACAAAAGTGTAATAACAATTTCCATTAGCCTAAAGCATAGTATAAATGAAGTTCTCCTCTTCCAGAAACATATGGCTAAATTTCTAAAAGTTGTGAAGTAGGTAATGTCAAAAAATTAATATATTTTTCAGATGGGGCAAGTGCGCAATATAAATCCAGAAAAAAGTTTGTAATTTTATGTTTTCACCAAAAATGTTTTGGTGTGAATTTTGAGTGGCATATCTGGGCTACTTCCTATGGGAAAGGGCCTAGTAATGCAATTGGTAACATAAAAAGATTGGCTAAGCGAGAAAATCGACATGCATTTCATGATCCAATTATGACACCACAGATACTATTATTAACTTGATTGGCCAGATTGGACCACTTGAGTCGTTCCACTTCATTTTACTGTCCGTGGTCGACTGTCGAAGGTATCACCTTGAGGTGAGGATAAATCCTCGAGTTACAATTCTGAATGTTATTCAGAGAGGTGATAATGAGAGATGGAGGATGATGGATGATAGGGGGTGAAAGGACGAACACAATACAACCGTGCCCGAGGCGGGACTTGAACCCGCGATCTTTCAGTACGAGATCGCTACGGCACTACTGCCTTAGCGATCTCGGCCACCAGATCGGCACAGATATTATAATACTAGTGGACAATAAAATATTAGTGGTTTTCACTGTATATTTTTGACAACTGATGACTAGAAAAGAGAAGTGAAATATTGAAAATACAGTGTGAAAAAAAATAAAACTAGTTATATAAAAATACACTTTCATGGATCTAAAATTTTATTAACTTTTGTAAAATATATATGAATTAATGAATAAGAACTTCAACTACTACTTCTACAATTTCAACTACTCATTCCTAACATTCTCATTTTAATGATAAATAGACTGAGTACACTCAGGGCACTATTCTGAATGCTATTCATGCCGAATGTTCGATTGGGAAAGTTAATTTATTGCAACTATTTATGCATATCCCATTCTGAAATTTTGCACAATCATACAATAAATGATTGGGAATTAAGTGACTTTTTTATATTTAAAAAAATTTTAAGTTAGAAAGCTATGAAAAATACAATTTCAATTTTGGTATAATTTGAGCTGAAATATAATAAAAGGTCGTGTTACAATCTATAAAATGAGACTAGTTTGGAATCATCAGATTTTTTAATAAAGGAGACATGACAGTATGCACGCTGGTTTGCAATTTTTAATTAGAATTACTCTGAACGTATATGATGTAATTGAAAATTTAAAAAAAACTGTGAGAGTTTTTGTTATTAGAATAGACACACAAAGTTTCAAAAATATAAAGGTCAATTTTTCATTGCATTCGATCTAGGAATGATAAATGAGATTGAAGGGATCAATGTTCTTACTTTAGTTATAGCTATTGAACTGGTCTAGTAATGTTATGAGTGTTATTACCAAGACTCGGATTCTCATTACAGGTCGTTTTTTCATTAGTGCACTCAAGATGTTGCTAACCTGTAAATGTATGTTTATCATGACATATGTTACAGAAATGTATAGTTATAGGGTTATATTTTTGCAGTCATGTTTACTTATTTTGTTTCCTTTTCATGTTTTTTATTAGTGAATGTGTCATGAATTTCCAATGACACACTAAAACAAAAGTTTTTATTTTAGCATCGATTCATGATAAAATTCACTACTGCAGTGGACATTTTTTCAAACTCTCAAAGTTACACGTATCTTTGGTAACTTCTTCAACCTTTCAAACCTTTGGTTGGAAGATTGAAGCTAAAGTTTACATTTCCTCCTAAAACAATGACTTCATATGTAATATAATTTTATATAAATATATTTTATTTACAATGGTAAAATTCATTGAATAAATAAACATTTTAATACAATTTTTTTAGTATTATTGAAAAATTAGGTAATTATCCCCCTTATTTTTAAGTCTTTTAGGTCATTTTCCTCTTAATTTTTAAGTCATTTTCGAAGAATTTGTGTCACCAGAATCCGAGCACTAGTTATTACTGCAGAGGCCAAAAGTTAAAAGTCAAGGCGAAGCGCATTGGAGTCGAAATTTTTAATTTGGACGAGACAATAATAACCTTGTAACATTTCGTGGTATGTTCAGCATTTTATTGGTCACCACAAAATCTCACGATTTATGCAACAATTTACACTACTGCAATAGTAAACAAATGCATTCTGTTGCTGCGCCAGGTCAATACGATATTGTGGGGGTGTTGCTTGTAATCTTCTTAAACAATATTCTTATACAATGTTTTAAGAAAGATTGACATGAATAATTATTCTGTACCTAAAGAAATCACTCTTTATAGGCCTGTTCAAAAATATCGGTCTGAATTGCCCGGCAAATTCGCGGTGGATTCCGGTACTTTTATTCGGATTTGCTTTGCATATCGCACGTTTTCCTTAAACCTGACTATCGATGAATCAATGGTTGTTAATTTATGTTGCTAAGGGTGTAAAATTTCTTAACAAACAGGTAGGTACATGTGCGCTTAACAACCTGATACCAGGGGTGGAAGCCGCATGTGACCAATTAGTGTTTTTAAGCGCGGCCCAGAACTATGCCCATGCTCTAGCAGCTGTCCTGTGAAATCCTACAAGCAACACGGTCCTGACACAGAGGCAGTCTCTGGAGGTGGGACAGCCCTTACATAATTTTGTTCTGGGTAATTAACATAAATGTTTGGCTGAGGGAAACTGTTCCTCAAACATGGATGGGCTGACTCAGAAGTGTGTATGATATATGGCACGGTGGAACAAAAATGTGGAACGGGTTCTTCAGACATGGATATTCGAAAATTTACATGGATTGAAAGGGGGCGAGTAGATTACGTACGTGGCAAACATAACAAAGCTAAGGTGGAAGATAGGAGCACCAAAAGCATTTCAGATCTTTATTTGCTTAGGTCCAAATTGTATCTTCTATTTGTGCATATACCCCAACAAAATTATATTCAAGACACACCTTTTAGCGCACGAATTCCAAAATATTAGCTTCACCTGCTACCTGTACCATCAGTAAATTTTCAATACAAACTTTCTCCTAGAGGAAGGCTATCAATAAAGATTACACAACCACCCAAATTCTATGATGGAATAGTAGGAGCTACACTGCTCTTAGACCCAGTAAGAAAGTATCTGGGACTGCGTTCAGAAACAGACCCAACTCCGTCCTGATTTTTTTTCGTACCACCGCTTCTCCGAAGAAAAACACAGTTCATCCACGACTTCTCCTTTTGCAAGGGCTTAAACTCTTTTCTTAGATTCTGTAAGAAAATATTCTAGAAGTACATTTAGAAAGAGTTCCCGCCACCCTCACTCCCCAACTCTTTCTTCGAGGTGAACTAATTTATTGTGCAAAAATATTGCATGGTGTAGGCTGCCATAATATCATACATTGAATAGATGGATATTTTAATACAATTTTGGTACACAATATATTGATCGTCTAGGGACAGCTCTAGAAGCAGGAGATGGGG